CGCCCCGGGAGACACGACCTCGGATCTCTGAGACAACTGGCATTTCTTTGTTCTCGGCTTTCTGTCCATACTACGTATAATTGGGAGGTCGTTGTGTTTGGCACATGACACCCTCGCTAATCATTCAGCCTGTCCCCGTAGACTCAACTATCCAAGGTGACTTTTGATTTTTTTTTAAAACCACTTCCTCTGTTTGGTAACTTCAACACACTTTTTTTTTTTTAATTCCACATGTGCTTGACCTTTTGCCGGAAATGAGCTAGATTTAATTGCGATGAACCTAAATAGAACTATTGGTTATACTAGCTATTGTTTCGTGTGCGCTACGAACTCTCTCCTACTCACCCCACCGTCTCCTTCCTTTTTTTTCCTTCCCTTGACCTGGTATGATGTCATTTCGAGTCACATGACATGACTCGCATGCCAACACGCTCTTGTTGGAATCGATCAGTGAGTCAGTGGAGCACCGGCGACCGAGCTATGGGCATTTTGATATGAGATGTGAGAGATCGATCATTCACTCACTCGTGCACGTGTTTATGTTGGAAAGGATATTATTTCCTAAGATAAAACATCCTTTGGTGTTGCCTTTCTTTTCATATGTGAAAATAAAAAAAAAAACATGCACGGACATTAAAACCATAATAAGAAATACGAATTTCTTAATAAAGAAGCTAGACTTATTTTGCAGCATGGTTGATACAGAAAACTCCATATTCCCGTACAGGGAGAGACCTTTCCCATCCTGCAAACCAACATGACCTCGCGCGCTATGAAGCGTTTTACATTCCTACAGGACATGTCCCACCGTCTCTGCGTCCACCTGGCAGTGTCGATATTGGGGATCAAAGTTGTTGTTTTTATCCGGACTCTCGCTAGGCAAGCTTCCATTGTTCTGAATCGTGCTGTTCCTGTTTGCTCCAACTGTTTCTAGATCCATAGAAATGTTTATTTTGAGCCAACTGTTTCTTTTGAATTAACTTTCATTAAAGCCAACTGTTTCTATAGAGCCATTTGTAAAGAAACAATTGTTTCTTTTGAGCCAAATGTTTCTTTAGAGCCAACTGTGTCTTTAGAACCAACTGTTTATTTAGAGCCAACTGTTTATTTAGAACCAATTGTTTGTGACGATGACACAACTATACAGACTACAGTAGGGCCACACACTTTCTTTTTGTTTCCGTGGCTCACAAGGGCAGTCAATTGTTGAATCATCACAAGGATACACATCAATGAATGCTTGATTGATTTAATGGTCCTGTGCAAGTCTGTCGTCGTTTGGACTGCACCAAGTCTCACTTGTCTGCAGGGCGTATGGAACAAAGGGGTCCAGTGTATTGAACGAGCGTGTGAATCTCGTGAAGAAATGAGCAGACGTGAGGCGTGGATTATTTCGTTTCGTATTTTTGTTTTTAAATTCTTCCTCTTAACTTTCGTGGTTGTCTGTGTCTAGTAACAAATGGGTTGTTAGTTCATCTTCAATTATTGTCTGGAGCAGCCTCATTACCGTAGTTTCCAATGCCCTATTTATGTACAAATCGCTTATATAAGTCTTAGCTAGTTGGTCGTTTAATGTATCTAAGTTTGAGTTGTAACCAAAAAAAAAATGTGTAAGTCCATTGTTTGGTGTGTGTGCGTGTCAAAACTGTGTTGGAATTCGGCGACTTTAGCAACTGGTGGGGATGGGGAATGTATTGGCGCCCCGGCTGTTGGCACGATGATCCTGCGTTCAGATCATATTCCTATTGCTTTTAGGGTCAAAGTGCAATAACCCTACGCAGAACAGGTTGATGGATTGGACGAGCACTTGAGTGACTTTCTTACAAACCTTCTACTGGCAGGGGTGATTAGCCCTGCGCTGTACTCTCTTGCAATCAGCCACGCAGTAATTTGAATACTCGGCGCGATTTTTTTTTACTTGCTAACGCGCGTTCATTAAATACTTTAAAAAAAATAATTAATGTAGCATTTGCTTGTTTAAAGTGTATTAGGATATTTTATTATATTTATGGTGATTTATTTATACACCTACACCTAGTGTTTTATTTGCCCTAAACTCAGACCTATGTAGATTCTATATATATTACACTGCGACTGGACGTGAAAAACTTCAAAAAGCTGAAACAAGGTGTTGTTTTGTAAAGTAGTTATAAGAAGTAAACATTTGTTTTCAAACCTTACTTATGTTTCATATAATATGTAACATATAATATAGATTTACATGATATAAATTATTACCTTCGAAGTTTTATTTCCTGAATCTAGATCTATAAGGATCTGGGTAATAAATATATTTGAATGTACAATCTAAAATCATAAGATGATTAAAATCAACAGGCTTGAATTTTTTAGTTCTAGGGTTGTCTCATCATTATCTCAATGCGTAAATATATATAGTTCTGTAATTAAAATTGCCCATTCTGTTTAAAATCCCCAAAATTGGACTGCATTATTTCTAAACTTTGAAAACTAAAGCCCATTACTTTTCTAAGAAGAAGGATTTTCAAAGATTCAGGGCGAATTCTCTTACAACTTGAAAAAGAGTCCGATCGGAAACGTATTTGACTTTTTGTTTTCCAGTCAAGGTATAATATATAAAGGTCTGTGTCCTAACCTACATTGACCAGACGTCAATGTGAAGGCAGGTGAGAGAACTGACAACTTCCTTTTTATATCCTGACACACTTGACACAAACTACCGCTATTGTCTGTCTCCTTGACGAACAAGACTAGTTGAATGTAACATCCGCGGTTCTCAATTCTTGTTCACTTCTCACATTTTTTTGTTCAAAGAAATGTCACAAATGAAATATATTTGATTTGTTACACTTCGTTGTTATTTTAATAGAAGAATCGACCGATAAAAGCTTGAAATCTCAACATTTCTGTGGTCTGTGTGTTCGTTGTTGTTGTTGTTGTTTTGCACTAAGAACGATTCATAAATCTGATTTGAATTTTGAGTTAAATCTCGTTTAAAAGTACTTTTTCGTCAAGTGAACTAGAGTTATCCTTTATCTTCGGTATCGAAGGTAATGCCTTATATTGGAGATATTTATACATATCGGGAAAACTATACGTAGCAAGCTTTTTGGTGTATCCGGTGTACCGGTACCAAGTAAACGAAATATTGATACGATACGTCTGTTTGGGTCGTAAAGGGTAACACTGCGGACTAAATAGTGTAAACTATTCCGTTTGTAACTTTGATTTAGTTGGCAACTCTAAAGATCAACTTAACTACCTTGACCTTGTTTAGTTTATCGTGAATATTCGCGAAAATCTCAAACCTCCTTTTCACCAAGCTGTTGCCAACGTTACGTAAAATGGCTGCTGGCATTGTATTCTTTATCTTGGATCTATCATGCATTGTTGTTGTTTTTTTTAATCTTACACACGACAGAAGCAAGCATCCTAACCCAGTACAAATAAGGACTTACTGCAATTAAGTTTAACTAATTATTATGGTAGACCATTGACGCCCAACCTACGTCCCCCGGACCTTATCCAACCCCCTCGAAACTTCGGCCCACAGTGCATAATAAAGCTGCAGAGGTTCTGTTCTGTTGGACAGGTTGAATGATGCGGCCCGTAATACACGTGTCGTAGTTTTACATGGCCCTATGTTCGAAAGGTTTGGGTGCCACTGCGGTAGACATTCTTCTCATTACGCCATTACACTCGGCTAGTCAGTCAGACTTGCCAGCCCAAACCTTACAAAGTTTGTTTCTACTTCCAGGTAAGGATTCCACCAGGCAGGGAGAAGCAATCGTTAGCCCGTGGCTAAGTCTAGAGACATCTCGACACAAGCTGGACATCTCATCCCTGCTGCCCAACAAATCTCTACCCGTGAACTCCCTGGACATTGACACCAGTACACTGCTTTGTGGTACCGACAGTGAAACCATCTACTCTGTACAGCTCCCTATGCTGGACTAGACATGGGACACATACTTGCTACTTGAAGTCCTGTTGAAGACTAGAAATAAAACATAGAAAATAGTTTTAAAATCTTTTGAAATGCGTTGAATATGAATCTTACAGCACGTCTTAGATGATCCCTTTATGTTAAGCTACACATAGGGCCAATACCTAAATACTTGTTATTCGCGTTTATTTAAACCAGATTTATTTACAATTTCTAATTCGATAAGCGTTTGACAGTCATATGGTGTATAACCAGGGCGTATATAATTCAAATGCACTGTTACGATTAACTCACACTTTCTTCATGTTTAGTCAAAAGGTGATAAATGGGTGGAAGTTGGTCTGAAGACACATGAAAAGTGAATCATTTATTTCAAGCTGAAATTTTGCACCTCGTTGTAAGGCTGTTTGACTAAGTTAATAGAGCATCAGGCCATTTATTTTTTTCATTTTTCATTGACAAATAAAATATAAATGTTAAGTTTAATACCTATAGGCCTATTTTAAACATAAAGCAGGGGTTGCTTAGAAATTAAAAACTTGTAAGAGGCATAATCCAGTTTATTAGGTCATTCTAGTCATGCTTCAAAAATTACTATCTCTACCTAGCCTCATTTGCAAATACACTGTAGCTCCATCGTGAAGACATACAAAAGGTACCCGGTATAGATTTGTATCTAGTCTTTCCACCCATCCCCCCCTCTTAACTACTACAGTAATATATTTCCAGGGCTAGACAGTTGGCTGCTTGTGGAAGGTTTTAATGAACTATGATTTGAGGTATAAGCTGATGATCGTGATAGTCTTCCTATTAGGTTTAATGAATTGTTTATGTTAATAAACTCTTCAGAATTGTTCTACAAATTGAACATTTTTTTTTAGTTCAAATACAGTATTACAAAAAGGGGGAGGGGGGGAGATTATTTAAAATTTGTATTAGGACAAAAGAAAATTTAGACCTTAACTTGGTAGATTTTAATTTAAGATTTTTTTTTATTTTCATTTGAGGACATTTGAAAGGTCTTAAGTTTGAAAATAAATTAAGTAAATAAGTTCTTATGATTGAGAACTATTGGGCTTTAGCTCCTCCTGAAACAAAAGATAAGTAGCATCTCCACTAACCTTTAGGAAGTAGATCAACTTGCATAGGTTGTATATCCCCAATGGGAAGAAAAAAAATGGAACAATAGAAATTGGAAAGTTTTCCTGACCTGATCTTATTTCTAAATGGGTGAATGGAATAGGGTAAATCTGTAAATATACTGGTAGTAGTATTCATAAGAACTCTAATTAACAAACATAGATCTATGAATTTTAAAAAAAATAAACATCTCATAAAACACAGTAAATCATAAATGTATCTTTTACTTTTTTTTTTAATAACATGTTTGTATGTACACATTTTCAACTACTTAAAAACTGTACACATCAAGTCAATTGTGTTGCGCACACACACACACACACAGTCACTCAGCTATTATAAACACTAGAGTACCATACACAGAATTAACAAGTCACCAAGTTCAGCTAGTAATAGTAGTCATCCTTAGAAATGGAATAATTCACACCATTGCCTGCTGTCAATGGACATCCTCCAACATGTGAGCAATCTCTACTAGTTTCAGTTGAGTACAAACCAGTGCATACATAGACAAAAAAAAACAAGTTTAATAACAAATAAAGACAGCTGAAGTCATTAGCCTGGTTGGCAAAGAAATTGCGTTAAAACATCTGACATGTGTTATGTGGTTAATAACAATTACAGGAGCCACACACCACATTTCTTATCACATCCACTAGGACTAGTCTCATACAAGGGGAAACGGGCTAGCTGACAAGGCACATTCAAAACCTAAGAGCCATTAATGTAGCCAAATTAAAACATTTCCATAAGATTAAGAAATCAACTGACGATTGCAACAAGGAGATAGTGATATCCTCTGACACATTCGCTTGGCCATTAGCTACTTAGTACACTATGGAAGAGAGAGGGATATGCATTCAAGAAGGTTCCTTGAAGCTTGTGGAAAAAAAAAAAAAAAAAAGATTTGTAAGGACAATAGGATGCTCTGCTTAAGTTAACTGCTATTTTTGTGACCTGCCCACATCATAACTGTAGTATGTTCAGCCATGTAATTAAACATAAGATTTAATGAATCATAATTCTTTTTTAAAAAAAAAAAAAGGACACTAATTATTTTTAAAAAATGGGTAAATAGGATTGCTCTGTCTGCCTAATGGTTTTATTTAGATAAAGTTTGCAAGTGCTGAATAGTACAGCCCTAGATGTGTTCAAGGCTGAAATGCCATGAAATCAGATCTGAAGTGATTAGATACTGAAAATATAATACATTTTGCCTCACACAACTGCCCCCTCGCTCAGCAACACATGCCTGATGATAGCACAAGGATGAAGAGAAATTACAATTGAAATGGCTCATCTGAATGTTCTTCTGTTCCTGTAGTGCCCTCTAGTACCAGTTGATGGGTGAACTTAACACAAAACATACATCCCTGATTTTGTTAGCAAACTGTCTGCATATGGTTCTCATACAATAATATAATGTGATACTATTAAGGCCCTAGTTATACAATTACACAGCTTCAAATAATTTGTACAAAACACATTACACTTTTTAAAAAAATGATATAATCCATATAAATTAAGTACACACATGTAATACTAGTTCAAAAAGTGTTACCTCTAAATACAAACTTGACATTTATTTATAACTTAGCTTTATGAATCTTGTTCCATTGGATAGTAAATACATTGCTTTGTACCATTTCTGTGATCATTAGTCTTTATTAGCTACTGTGGTAATGATATTGATTAAAAATACAGCTCAATAAAATCTGTAAGTACCAGTATTCACCAATTTCTAAGTCACATCTTAATAGGATGGATTTACAATTTCTGTTAGTAAGCTCTGAGCCACAAAAAATTAAAAAAAAAATAATGTAGATTTAAACCTATTCTCATGCTAAACATGTTTTCTGGATTTCTAATCTAGTCATCATAATTGATTAGACTCAAGACAAAACAATTACAATAATGACCTAAATACTTGTAACTTAATTTGTGGACATTGCTTGATTTATTATTACTAGTTAATAGTTATACATAGAACATGAAGGAATAAAATAAATATATAGCATGTCAATTTTTATTACAATTTAGATGTCCTGAAGTAGGCATAATTGTACAGATACACTATCAATAACCAATAAAGAAACACAGAAAATCTGACTCTCAGATCAATTTTTCTTTTTTACTTTCCCACCTAACTCCTCTCCAAGGGTTGTAGCTCAAGTTGATAATATTTCAATTTCATAGGTTGAAATCTATTTTTATAACATTTGATCAACCAGTATTGACCTGTAAGAAAATCATTCTGACAATCTTAAATGAAGCTATGAACTTTTTAATTTTAGAAGTTAAACACATCAGGAAAAAGGCCTAGAAACTAGGTGAAATACTTCTTGATTAATCAACATAGACTTTCTACCATCTCTTTATGCCTTTCCTAGTTTTCCAAAACTGTCTGCAAGCCCAGAGAGACCTTGGCACCACACAAAAATACATCCCTATAACCTTGGTACAAGTATAACTTGCGACCACCCTCAACTGCATTCATATAACCTTGGTAGACATATATCACATTATCTGTGCCTTTCGCTCTTCTCACCTATGTTGTTAGCAGGTAGTCAGAAGTTGAACTCTGCCTAACACTTACCTGAAACTTAAGATTGATGAGATTAAATTAACAATTAATACTAATATTATGTATATCCATCATTTGAATTGGAAGTTTTTGTTTCCTAAACAGTTTGCAAAAAAAAAAAAAATGCCTCTGAAAAAGCAAACAAAGAATGAAGATAATGATAAAAGAAACTAATGTCAGCTTTACATTAAATATCTCTGAAATGTTTTTATTTGAAGCAAGCCCCCACCCTTCCCCCAATCCCTAAGCAGAGGTGAAATTCACTTTGGCCAGGTATGGGTGAGAAGTAGCCTTTATGGGAGCCTCTTTCTGAAGATGTGAAGGCCAGATATTTCTACCAATATAAATTTTGTTGGTAAAAACCTGTTACAAGGATAAAACATATTACAATAAAGATGAGTGACACGCACCAAATATCAGGAGCAAAAAAGGATGGGTTTAATTAAACAAAACAAACAGAATAGTAGTAAATGTTGATGAAATTTTTTGTAGTGTTTTTAGGTTTATTGCTGTTGAAAAAAAACAACAACACAAAAACAGGCTGTATGGCATCTGTGACCATTAAAAACAATATCTTCATTAGTTTGTACAAAGTGGACATAATGAGTCAATGAAATGTTCTTTTTGTTTTACTCTCTTTCCATCCTGTCATTGAGTGACCAGACTTCCATCATTACATTATCATGCAGACTTATCCCCCACAATCTGGCCACAGGTTCAGATTGGACTACATCACTGAAGATGTCTACACACACACAAACACATCTTGAACTAATACTGGCATTCATTTGGTCAAGCTGATTTAGAGTTCTTGGTAACATAAGCAGCTGTGAAACTATATGCAAAGCCCCATTGGAGCAGTAAGTATAATCTGAGTAGAACATTGCTTTGCTTGATCTCCCATACTACTACTGGATATGTGCAACTACAAATAAAACTCTTCAAAGTCAAATATTTAATAGCTTCTAGAAGAAGGAAAAAAAGTTTGTATTTCTGATTGACAGCAAACTTTTCATAAGCTTGTACATTTTCACATATTATTTTAGCTGTTTTCATTTACAACTTTGTTGATGCTACTATTTTTTTTTTTTCACTAAAAAAAACAACAACAAAGTTAATATATGTAACCTTTACATAGGTAACACTTGGAGCAGTAGATTTATTAACAGCAGAATCTATATAGTCCTAATTGGTACAAAAAATAAAAAAAGCAGATTGTAAATTATCAACACCAGTGATTGCTGACCTTATTACCTAAACTACTTTAAAACATTTTTTGGAAACATCTGTTCTACCCAATATGTCAATTAAAAGTGGGGCTTTTGCTAAGGTGCATATTTGTGAATAAAGAACCCACAGGTCATTGATTACTACTTGCAATGAACTATTTGCTCAAGAAACATTACTCTTGTCCACATACAAACATCACCACAATAACAGTACACTGAAACTTATAACATTATTCATTGTTCGGTACAATATGACTGAGAAATCAATGCTAAAAAATATCATTTAGCTTCTCCTTATAGCAATCAATACACTAAGAAAGAATATAAAAAAAGAGGGAGAAAAAAAAAAACAATAAGAAAAAAAAAGGGAACAAATAGGACAAAACAGATACAAGAGGAAAAAAAATGATATTATGAAATGCTCAAACAAAAATATTGAAATTTGCTAAAAATTCACCAGTTTATTCTAAGAATATCCTTTCATTATATGAATGAATGCATAAGTTAAGAATCACATTGAAAACAAAAACTTGATCCTCTCAACAACAGGCAACTAAACATACGCAGTCAATCAGTACCAACAATACAGCATCTAGTGTCCAGATGGTTTGGTCCAGGGGAGTCTAAGGAGCACAGGACTAACTCCTCTGTCATAGATGTCACAGGGGGTTTGCCCCTCTCCCCTTCATAGACACTCCTCTGTCATAACATCACAGGGGTCTGTCCCCCTCTCCTAGGTACATTCAGGATAACTCTTGTAGTGAAATAAATCTCTCAATAAATATTGTCCGCAACATCCCAGTGTCAGAAATAAGGAAGGTCTAAAAACAGCATGGTTTTGATGTGATGGTGATACTCCTAGCATTTGAGTGTAATTTTAAAAAAAACAAAAAAAAAGAGGGACAGACCCGCTCAATTGGTTTGTATTATAACATATGTACAACAGGGAGGAGACAGGGACTTGGAAGTGGATAGGTGAGTTCTAGAATCAAACTGGCCCATTGTGCACCACGGCTGCTGCATCATACTTTTCTTGAGCTTCTTTAGCTTGGGCTCTGAAATATACAAAAAGTTAAACTTAACATTGCAACAGTTACTTTAATACCTCAAAAACAACATTCATTTAACTAAAACATAGCTACTTATAGGGTCAATTATAGCATCAGTCTTTTTTTTCAAATGTAAAGTTATATATGTGAGCTCGGTTTCTTGCTCTAAATACAATGTACACAAAAGTCAGTGTTAACACTCTAGATATCTGGGAGTACAATCAAATAATAAAGACAGAGTAAAGAAAGAAAACATAATTGTTGCATTTTGTTATTTGTATTGTGTCCAGTTGCAAAGACTTAGCAGATTTTTTTGTCCTTAAATGTACACAGCAAACTTCATAATAAATAAAGCAGAGAAAACAATTCTAGAATAGAAATTACAAACACTTTAATGAAAGACATCAATAAAGAATTCTATGTCTGAAAGACATACTGAATTGAACATTTTTTTTTGCCCCTTCTTATTCTTGCTAGAATACACTAGTAAATACCATCATTTTAGTTGCAATTTTTGGGAACAAATATGGCTCAAGGTTAGGCCAGTTGGCTTGCCACAGTAAATATAATAGTGAGTGTGGATGGGGACTAATGCAAAAAATTGTCTCAAATTTTACTTGCCAGTGCTGCATAGAAACACTAACGTTTAAGTTATAATTACCAGAGGAGAAGAGGTAGCAACAAAGGTTAGTTCTGACCAACAAATGTTACCCTAACATTGTGAATGAGCAGTTAGCCAGCATGCTAACTTGTTCCTAGAGTGCACACTTCCTTAGAGTAGACAGCGCTGGAGTGCACCCTTGCAAATAGTAAATCAATAATGCATAGGTAAATTTTCACAGGTTTCAGTCAGTAAGCTCTTTTTATTCCAAGGACATATTTATCATTGATAATCCCACCGACTATAACTTAAAGCTTATCTCACCTGGCTCTTTCGATTTTTTGAGCCTGTGTCAATGTGCATTCTGTAGTATCTGGTTCCAGACTTGAGCAAGTCTGGTCCTCTCTTAATGACACAAGTGATGGAGAGAGTGCTGCAGGA